CTGTACTGTTTTGGAAAGTGGCGGAAAAATGTGTTCGGATCGAAATGCATTAGTTACCGTGCGTGAGGGAGTCCAAATTAAAGATGAATGGTACTTGGATTCCGGTTGTTCAACACATATGACGGGTCGAAAGGATTGGTTTGTGCAAATCAATCAAGCGACAAAGAGTAAAGTCAAGTTTGCCGACGACACTACTTTAAGCGCCGAAGGGGTAGGAGATGTTTTGATCGGAAGAAAGAATGGTGGACACTCTAGGATCAAAGATGTCTTGTACATACCGGGAATTAAGTGCAATCTTTTAAGCATTGGCCAATTGCTTGAAAGAGGGTACTTAATTCGATTGGAGAATAAGATGTTACGCGTTTTAGATTCAAATGGTGTATTGATTCTAAAAGCGTCGATGGCTGCCAATAGAACTTTTAAGGTTGAGTTAAAGGTTATGGAACATCGTTGTTTAGCTACCGCGGCAAGTAGAGATGAGTGGTTATGGCATTACCGTCTTGGTCACCTAAACTTTAGGGATCTTAAAATGTTGCAACAAAGTGAAATCGTAACGGGGCTGCCACATATTAGTGTTCCGACAGAATTATGTGAGGAATGTGTGAAGAGTAAGCAACACAAGAATGTGTTTAGCAAGGATGCGGGTCGAAGAACCAAAGGCTTACTTGAGGTGGTGTATTCCGATGTTTGTGGACCGATGCAAGTAGAGACTTATGGCGGCAATCAATATTTTGTTACGTTTATTGACGATTTTAGTAGGAAGCTTTGGACTTATCTTATCAAGAGAAAGGATGAGGTATTTGGAGTGTTCAAGAGTTTCAAATCCATGGTGGAGCGTCAAAGCGGCCGGAAGCTCAAAATTCTCAAAACGGATGGTGGAGGTGAATATACCTCTAGTGAATTTGGGAAGTTTTGTGATCTTGAGGGTATTGTGCGTGAGGTGGTGCCTCCATATACGCCTCAACAAAACGGGGCTGCCGAGAGGAAAAATCGTACAATAATGAACATGGTGCGTAGCATGCTTTGTGGGAAGAAGTTACCTAAAGAATTGTGGGGTGAGGCCGTATCTACAGCCACCTACTTGTTGAATAGGTGTCCTACTAAGAAGCTGGAGAAAATCACACCGGAAGAGGTTTGGAGTGGTTTCAAACCGAGTGTGGTTCATTTGCGTGTTTTTGGATCGATTGCATATCGTCACGTACCAAATCAACTTAGAAAGAAGTTGGATGATAAAGGTGAGAAGTTGATATTTGTTGGATATCACTCTACTGGTGGTTACAAGCTGTTTGATGAGAAGAATCGGAAGATCGTGATAAGCCGGGACGTGACTTTTGATGAAATCAAAAGTGCAGAAACAGCAGCAGAAAATCAGCAGCAGCAGTTTTTTGAAATCTCTGATCCGGAGTTGTCTGATGCCGCTGTACCAGCACCTATAGCAGCTGAAAACAATGTTGTGAATGAGGGTAGACCAACAAGGCATAGAGGTATGCCTCAAAGACTCCGAGATTGTGAACTGTTCCGAGATAGTGAGATCAACAATGATGGTGATCTTATTCATTTCGCTTTAATGGCCGAATCCGAACCGGTAAATACGGAGGAGGCATTAAGCGATCCAAAATGGATGTGTGCAATGAAGGAAGAGTTGAAATCGATTGAGAAGAACAATACTTGGGTGTTGGTTGATTTACCGAAAGGTAAAAAGGCGATTGGTGTGAAATGGGTTTACAAAGTAAAAGCAAATCCGAAAGGCGAGATAATCAAGCATAAGGCTCGATTGGTAGCAAAGGGATTTTTGCAAAAAGAAGGCATAGACTTTGATGAGGTATTCGCACCGGTTGCAAGGCATGAAACCATCCGGTTAGTTGTTGCGATTGCAAATAACAACAGCTGGTCGTTATATCAAATGGACGTCAAATCGGCGTTTTTGAATGGTCCATTGGATGAGGAAGTGTATGTTGGACAGCCACCTGGTTTTGTGATACAAAATCAAGAGGAAAGGGTCTACAAATTAAGGAAGGCACTCTATGGTTTGAAACAAGCTCCAAGAGCTTGGAACAAACGCATAGATGTTTTTCTTATCAACATTGGTTTCAAGAAGTGCGTATCCGAACACGGTGTGTATGTGAAGTCGGATAAAAGCAAAGGAGTAATCATACTTTGTCTTTATGTGGACGATTTGTTGATTACGGGCAGTTGTGAAAAGTACATTTCAAAGTTCAAAGAAGAGCTTATGGGGGAGTTTGAAATGAGTGATCTTGGCTCTATGAAATACTTCTTAGGCATAGAGTTCCAAAAAACAAAGTTGGGACTGCTCATGCATCAAAGAAGGTATGCAATGGAGATTTTGAAGAGGTGTGATATGGAGCATTGTAATGCTGCCACAACACCAGCCGAGGCACGTTTACAGCTGTTCAAGAGTGAAGATGAGCAAGATGTGGATCCTACTCAATACCGGAGATTGATAGGATCATTGCGTTACTTGTGCAATACGCGGCCAGATTTAGCGTTTAGTGTCGGTATTGCAAGTAGGTTCATGGAGAGGCCGAAGGTATCACACTTGGCAGCGGTTAAGAGGATCCTTAGATATGTGAAAGGTACTCTTGGCTGTGGGATTTTATTTCCTGCAAGTGACATGGGCAAAAGTTGCGAATTACTCGGATACACCGACTCCAATTGGTGCGGAGATAAGGACGATCGGAAATCAACGGCCGGTTATGTTTTTATGTTCGGAGGAGCACCAATCTCTTGGTGTTCTAAAAAGGAGCCGGTGGTTGCTCTCTCTTCTTGTGAGGCGGAGTATATCGCAGCTTCGTTATGTGCATGCCAAGCTGTGTGGCTAGTGAACCTGCTGCGTGAGCTGGACAGCAACACGAGAGGAGCTGTTCTGCTGTTGGTGGACAATGTTTCAGCCATCAACCTTGCTAAGAATCCCATAGCACATGGGAGGAGCAAGCATATTGAGATGAGATTCCATTACTTGAGAGATTTAGTAAGTTCTGGACAGTTACGTTTGAGCTACTGCAGAAGTGAAGAACAGGTCGCGGACTTGTTGACGAAAGCGGTTACGAATGATGTTTTCAAGCGACTCGTGGTGAGGTTGGGCATGAAGAACATTGAGCATTTGACTTAAGGTGGTGTGTTGAATGATTAGAATAAGTCAAATGCAGTGTAATTGGTTTTGAAGTGTTTTTGGAGAATAGCTTATTTGAGAAGCTATTTTGGAAAAGCTGCCAGTATGCTGCAGGAAAAACCGAAAAAATTATTTCTGTTTTTAGGCTGTTTTGTTTAGCTTTTGTTTTGTTACTTTGTTTAGTGTTAGCAGGCACTATATATACATTTTGTAACATGTTGAATGAAATTAATGCCATATGATTTTTTACCCTCTCAATTAATCTCTATTCTCTCTAAACTTGATCTTCCCCAATCCTCTAATTTCACCAAAATTATCCATCATCTCCATTGATTCACATACAAGGTTTTGTGCTTGTTCTAACAACAACGACATGACAAAATTAGAATCAGGAAAAGTTGAAACGACTGCATAAAACTGTAACAAAAACATGAAAGCATTTGCCATAATCAGAATAACAGAACCGTATCCAACTGAAAAATAGAAATTGAAAATTTCGAATGTGCAACAACCGAATATTCTTCAATCATGATCTGAAATTTTCATTATCTTCAACAGGAATAGATGTCAATTTTTACCTCATTTATTATGATTGACCTGTCCTCTGTCCTCGTTATTATGTGACTACATGGTTGAATAGTTCCTACCGTGTGGAACTTGCAGACCACAATAACTTTTATTAGTACTGTATTCTTAATATGTAATAGTAGTAAATAAACAGTTATAAAAAAATAATAACATAGTAAACAGTCATAACTACAGTATGATAGTATTATTACAGTTATAAACAGTTATAATAATACCATGTTAATAGTATTATTAATAATATATTAGTTATAAGAGTCTCTAGTTATAGTTACAGTTTTCTATTTTGTATTTAACCAATATATTTTTGGGCGAAAAACACGATACTTGAATAGGCCAAATTTAAATTAAGATTATCAAAAACGTAATTTGTGATACTGTTGTGACTTCTGACCTTTTTTTCTCGTGACAACTAAGCATTCTCCTTTATTAAACAATCTAAATAGCTTACACGGTTAAATCTCTTTTTATATTTATAACAAAAAAACCCATAAAAGCCCTTTATTATCGTTAATTAGCATAAGCACAAGAAAAGCCTTTAATTTGGTATCATTCATCAATCAAAACAATCACATAACAATAACACCAATTTCTCAATCCATATTTGATTAGTGTTAATTAATATTGAATTTAGTACAGATTACTAGAATAAAAAAATTTAAAACCAATTGATATCAGAATTAATTTCAAATTAGATTAAACGATGCAGTGATCCGGAAAATGAAATAACACCAATTATATATATATATATATATATATATATATATATATATATATATATATATATATATATATATATATATATATATATATATATATATATATATATATATATATTAATTTTTGACTTCTGAATTATTATTATTGGTTGGTGTATGTGATTCATCACATCTTCATACTGCACACGACTCTCTCTCTCACGCAAGCAACAAACAAAGCCAAATCATCTTCTTTATCTCTCTCTTGATCGACGCTTCCAAGTTCCACCTTCTGAATTTCACTTCTCAACTGTAAGTGCTTTTTCGCTTCTGAATTAGGGCATGTTTGGAATGACTTAGCTTATAGATTATACGAAATTATCTTGACTTTACTTTATCTTGTGTTATAGAAATAGCTTATTCATAAGTGATTATACAATAAGTGCTTATACTATAAGCTGAAAAATAGATTGTTTATCCAATCAGAGCTTTAATTGAGAATTCAAGATGCTTTTCGACTTAATTCTCTTTATTTTCATATGATAATTAACAGGATTCTCAAGTGATACTTTGAAAATATAGCTACAATGACACAAGATACCAATACTTTGAGCTACTGGTTGAATTGGAGATTTTTCCTATCTGCACTATTTATTTTACTCAGTATGGGATTGGGGTCATTTTTGATATGGAAGTATGAAGAATTCAATAAATCAAGAAATGAGAGGGCAGTTGAAGAAGGGCGGCGAGAATCGGTTGGATTGTTATATGAAGCTGAAGCATGGAATACTTGTGTTAAAGGAATTAATCCTAAATGGCTTCTTGCTTATAGAGTATTTTCTTTTCTTGTGCTTTTGGGTTTGCTTATTGCGAATGTAGCTGTTGATGGTGGCGGCATTTTTTACTTCTACACTCAGTAAGTTCAATTACAGATATCTTGTATAGTATTGTCTTGCATGAAAGTTGAATTGAAGCTGCTTAAACATGAAATTAGAAAATTAGATTACATTTAGGGTATAGACTCCTTTTGTTGAAGTAACTAAACTTCCAAGATTCATAGATTTGAATGCAATGGTGTGTCGGTTTCAGCATGGGGAAAACTAGTAGTTTGTTCAAATTTCACTGCGCTACATATACTATAGTGCTACAATTTGACAAAACTTTGTTCAGAATAGCCTATCGCAAAACAATAGCGATTTCTTCAAATTTTGCTATACTACAGTGTATAGAGCTGGCTATAGTCGCTATTTGAGAATATTGTTTCGATGCATGCTTTCATGATATTGAATAACTAAACTATGAAAGAGCTGGATTCCAAGCCTTCTTTTCACTCTATTTATCGCCAATCTTGTAACTATTGTATAATGTTACTACATAAGCAAAGCATTGACACTTTTTTACTTCTGGAAATGCTTCCTGTCACAAAAAAATAGCTCATGGCAGTATCATGAACATGTAATTGGGAATCTAACACAAATTTATAGCTATTCACTTACCGTTTTTTTCGGCCAAGAAACAATTTTATTGGTTTACTATAACTCATGAGCTTTTCGTGAAGAAATCTTGTTTTGATGAAACAATATGCTATCTTGAGCATTCCTTTTATGCTGACTGATTCTGTATCTTGTTTTGGCTGCTGAACAGGTGGACATTTACTTTGGTGACTATTTACTTTGCGGTACTACTTCTCTTCTGTAACCTTTCTTGAATTTTGTCTAGTCAGATTATTGAAATTCTGCTATTGTAGTTTCATATCATATGCTCCATAGAAATATCGGCTGAAAATGTCCGTCAATTTTGTTTTTCTGTTTTCATCTCAATCTTCTCTAAAGTGACTTGCGCTCTTAATTTCAATTTCAGATTGCGTCTTGTTTCTCCTTCTATAGTATTTACTTTAACCACACAAAATTTGAGGGAAATAGATTAGATGCAGAACGAGGCTCTTATGTTGCTCCTACACTTGATGGAATTGCAGATGTACCTATCCTATCTAAGAGTTCTTATGCCTCTCGGGAAACTATCAATCAGAATACTGCAGGTGTATGGGGTTATATTATTCAAATAATATTTCAGGTAATTTAGTTCTGGGTATTTAACTAATCTGTGTCCAACTCAGGTGAGATAGTTTTTGCTGTAATAGTCTTTGATCAAATCATGGCTCATTAATATTGTCAAATGGCGGCTATAATGACGCTATAGCACAGTGAAAAATTTAACGAGTCATTATTGTTCTGCAATATGGGCTTTTGTACAAAGTGTTGTCAAATGGCGACTATAGTAGCATTGTAACGTAGCAGAGTTTCAACTGTTATTTACCATTAACTGTGAAACAACACTTGGCTGAAAAAGGATTCGTCTCTATACTTAGATTGGAGTAGCATTTATGCTATCCTTACCAAAAAAAGAAATTGGTTACAAGTTACAACCCTATAGATTGTAAAGTCCTGGTTAATTATTTGAATACCAAGTAAAATGTTCACAACTTTTATTGAAATCCAAAAGTAGTTATTGCTGATGAATAATTTTGCTACTATCAGAAGTTTGCAAAAGGCTGTGGTGCAGTCTCTCTTTAACTGTATTTGGATTTTATTGTGTTATTCTCGTTAGTTGTTTTTGGATTTTATCTTGTTATTAACTGGTTAAACTCTGGGAGCAATCTATCAATTTGTTTTAATTTTCTTTTAAATATGTAGACTTGTGCAGGTGCTTCGGTGCTCACTGACAGTGTATTCTGGCTCGTTCTTTATCCTTTTATGACACCCAAAGACTTTCGTCTCGATATAGTAAGTATACTTCATTTTTTTACTGGCCTGTAATTTCCTCTTTTGGTTAGGACTTAGGAGTTTTACTATTGGGGATTGTTTGGCATTTTCTTTTGCTACATAAGATAAGAAAGAAAAAAGAAGCAACAGAAAAAGATGAGAAAATAAAAACTTAATCCCTAATAAATGCAGCCACATAGAAAACTGTTTGGCGTTTGCTTAGTAGTTTCATTTTTGTTCAAAGGTTAAAACAGTTTTGAAAATGTTTTCACTTTTCAATTTGCAGTTCACTGTTAGTATGCACTCTGTTAATGCTGTGCTCCTCCTTGGTGAAACATCATTGAACTCCATGGTGAGTTTATTTTTTCTCTTTTTCTTTATATTTCTCCTTAACTATCTACTTTAAGTTTACAACAATTATTTCTTTTTAACACGTGCAGAGCTTTCCAGTATTTCGATTTGCATATTTTATCTTGTGGACGGCTACATTTGTAATTTTTCAGTGGATCATCCACGCTGTTGTTTCGCTTTGGTAAAAACGTTTAACCCATTTTATATCTATTGCTTTTTAATCGGTACAATTCTGCTAAACATTCTAACTTTTTGTTACAGGTGGCCTTATCCTTTCCTTGATTTGTCATCCCCATATGCACCCTTATGGTATGTTCTTAAATTCAGTTGGTCACAATACTCAAATACACAATGCAAATAAAATAAAATAAACAAACTTATGTTATGAAATTTTGGTTAAGGTCTTCAAATATATGAAACTTAAAATAAACTTGCAAGCAAGGAACAATTTATTTATCGCGTAACATCACATTTATATCTTCTTTTTGCTGATTCGGGTATGTTTGGATCGGTAAAAAGGAGCAGACTGGTAATACTTTTAAAAGAAGGAATGTTACCATTCCATTCTGTTCCACTTCCCTCGGGTATAAATCACTAATCCAAACATATCAACAATTGTTGGATATGAAATTTATATTGTTGATTGAAGCATGGTATTTCAGCTGATATATGTTTGTTGCCATCTTTTTGGACTTTTAGGTACTTGGCTGTAGGTATAATGCACATTCCATGTTATGCCATCTTTGCCTTAATAGTGAAGTTGAAGCACTTGTGGTTGTCAAAATTGTGTCCTGGTTGCTGTCAATTTGTAAGGTGAAAACAGCATTCCAAACATCAATTAATCTTTGGAGTAGAGCTACTTTCATCCTGTCCAAAGCATTTTGAATTGTGAAGATTAAATTTAGATCCTCTTATGCCCTCAAAAAAATGTACAGAGGATGCATTTTTATGCAAGGGTAGTTTTTGAGGATGCATATTTGTATTTATTATGTAAGATTAAACTCATAAAAGTTCTCTGATCTGTTTTGTAAGTTGGTGTTTGTTGTGATGTCTTCCATCAAAGAAATTTTCCACTATACCATGCATTGACTAAATAAAGATAAAGTAATGTTTGTTGGAATTGCTGCAACTAAGATAAAATATTAAAGCGGAAAAAATAGCATCAAAGTGCTAGAACATGAGGTAGGTATAGTTTTACAAACAAAAATGGTGTTCGTATAATTGACACAAACTCCTGTGGAAATCAACGTAGTTATTTACATGCATGGCTGGCTTCCTTGGCGTGCAATTTTTATATGTAAGATGCTAAGAACAGAATTATGTAAAGAACACACTTTTTTAACATAACTCTTTTACTAAATGGAATTTATATAGATACCTCCAAATTTAAGTGGAATTCAAATTATTTAGCATAACTCATTAGAGTTTTAACAACTAAAAAAAGTAGTAAAAAGAGTGTAGAAAGAATTGCTAACTCTTTCCTTTTGAAAATAAGAGTAATGCGGCACTATAAACTCCACAAGAGCAATTTTGCAATGATTGTTTATAAAACACCCGAGTTAAATCAATACAAAGGGTGCATTTGTTTCAGGTCATGAAAAAGAAATCCTGATTATAACTATCAAAGAAATATATGAAAATATTGAAAGTGACATGTAATTATATCGTATCTTAGATCCCTTGTGTTATGTTTGTAATAATTTTTTTCTCAATCTTGTAGTAAGAGGCGTTATGTCCTATTTAAGAGCTCTATATTCATTCTCTATCAATGCATTTTTGAGAACGTGATTCTTAGAATTAAAAAAACACCCCAATAACAAATAATTTCAAATCCAAAACGTTTCTCACAACTCACAAGTCTTCAAGTTTCCAAATAATGATAATTCAGTAATGTGAATACATTAATAAAACATTCTTCTCTCTCTAAATTGTATCACTCATTGTATTAGACATTGAACAAAAAAAATCATTCACCACTCAGTGTACTTGATGAGAAGGGTCAAAATGATTGCAAGATAGGAAGATAATATTCAAAGCTGCATCATGCTGTTAAAACACATGTATATTTTTCTTGATTATGAAACCAACTGAAAACAGCCGCCAAAACATTCTTAAAATAAAGCTGAGAACAAAAATATTATGTCCCCTGTTTTCAAAGATAGATTCTCGTTTTATTAAACCGTGAAGAGCATATTAAAGAAAATGCAGAGTACTGGGACATAAAGTTGAATCATTATAGTCCAATCAATATTCCATGACTATCCAAATCTTCATTTATCACAACATGGTGATTCCTACCCTCCCCTTTTCTTTTAGTCTAGGCTGTGTTGAGTTTTAAGAGGTAACAACCAAAAGGAACAACCCCATTCAGAATAGATTTCATTTAACAATCTAAGTTTAAACATAATATTCAGCTATGGCTTCACGTGTTGTCTGATAAACTCTTCTAGCTGAGATATCTCCCCGGTTAAACCAGAAGCATCTGCGGTCGTAACTGTGTTAGAGCACTGTTTAAACGAGAATGGCTCACCAGGCACCCCCAGAGTAAACTCATTTGTAACATCGGCATCTGAAACTGCACTTCTTGATGCCCGCAATTTGTCGCTGAAAAAGAAACAACTAGCTGAGTAGCCGACAGGTGAAGTCATGAAAAGAATCAGATTAACATACATTGCATAATATGTCTGTTTTGAAGATAAAAACAAACCGATCGTTTGACTGAGTCTATGGACACATGGCCGTGAGAAAAGGTGGAAGAATTTGATTAGTTAAAAGAAAATATAATACATTTCTTCAATATAAACCAATCGACAGCATATGGATGTGCATACAGATAGGGACATGGATGAATTAATTGCTGAATGACAAAGTGAGTAAAGGTAAAACAAATTTAAGGACATGAAGCCATACATTTCTTTCTCGAGTTGTCTGCAGATAAATTCTTTGGTGTGAGCAGTGACTTTGTCGGTTTTGTTGCAGAGAATAAGCAGTGGAATCTTCTTCCTCACAACACTTCCCTTAGTCAACAGATCGTATAGGTACCTTAATAAGTAAAACAAAAATGTCAGTTTCTTTGTAATTACTGATATCCCTTCTTTCTCAGGAAAAGTGAGAAATGATAACTTATTAAAATTATAATGTTGTAACATCTTGAGAGTAATTAACATTCCTCGCAGTGGGTTTACAGCTAATACTGACAAAGTTTACTTTACAAAAAGATGATGACAAGCAACTTAATGAAGAAAGGAATTACTCTGAGGCAGGACGGCAATTCGGTAAGAAGTCCAAAGCATCGACAACAAAGACTGTGCCAGCTGCTTGAGGCAAGTACTCATCCAATTTGGGTCGAAGACGAGAATGTCCGGGAACATCCACAATATGAACTGGTTTTATCTTTCCCTTCTGTCGAAGTATAAATTACATAAGACAATATTAGGTCTATTATAGGGTCTGATTGCAAATCATTATTAATGAAACACATGATATTATATATGATTTCAACCAATTTGAAAAGCAAGTGTTTCTCCAATTAACAACAAAAGGTGAATATTCTGATTTAATCTAGGTGAGAGTAACAATCTCTGCAGTACTAAACTACTACATTCATGTGAGTGTTTGAGTGCATGAGGCTTACACTACCTTCAGTGTTTCACTATGAAGAATAAAAGTGTCTTCATTTGGTTCCATTGATGTAACAGTACCTTGATGAGTAGAGCCATCCTTAAGCTGACATAGGAAAAAGAAAGTGTGCCAAGAACATTATGTCAGCACAAGAAATATGAATAGAAGGAAAATTAATAGTTGTATTACCTAAGAAATTAGATTATATCCCATCATATAATATGCTAATATAACATGCTTTCGGTTTATTATCAACCTCCTAACCTTGATTCTTTTTTCTCAGAGTTGTTAAACAGAAGCTACACCGACGCTATAGTGTAGTGGAATTTGAACAAATCGCAATTGTTATGTGATATGTGCAATTGTCGTGTGATAATATATGCTGTCAAATAGTGGTTATATCAACTATGTAGCCCTTTTCCCACTATCTGTGACGGACAATACTGTTATTCCCTTACATACAACTATACAAGCCATATTTAGTCTTGATTAATTACGATTGTATTTTCTTGCCGTAATAATACAAACTAAACTAGGTTATGCAGTTCAAAAACTTGTCAGCAACGACCAAAAAGTTAACCACAGATTAGACCTACAAAAACCAATCTATTTCTTGTTTTCAGATTATAGACCCAATATCCAGAGTCTTAGCTCAAGACTATAATTGCTAAATACCACAAACAAACAGAATCCTGCATTACAATACATTCTGTGTACCTAGAAATCACTTCATTTCACGCATGCAATGCAATGTCCATTTCAATAATTAAACACAAAATCAAGCATATTATGAACCTAAACTCAACAATTAAACCATTAAACCAAAATCGACGCAGAAACACAATCATCAATTCACCAACTAAACCAAAATTATGTAGTTTTAACACAAATTAAATTAATTTAGTATAAAAAAAAACAAATTAAATTAAAGATTATCATCATCTTACCTGATAGAAGATAACAGTTTTCCCACTCCCACTAAGACCAGTCAACACAATGGTGTTCGACTTGGCGCGCTTAAAAAACCGAACTGCAAAAAACAAAAATCATTGCTGAAAAACTCAGAATCAATCGAAAGAGTAAGAATTCAGCAACAAGACAAACTCACTCACGCAGGAGAAGAATTAGGGTTGTGAAAACCGCGATAGCAGCAGCCGCGTAGAGTTGATCAGAAGGAATTTCACGAATATAATCGTTTGCGACATTCAACAGGTGAGAAATATGTTCCTTCCATTGATCTAACTCTTGCATTGTGAGATTTAGGGTTTTTTTGATTCAGAGTGTTGAGATGTTTCGTTTCTGTGTTGTGCTTGACGGTTGGAGAGTGACAAGTAGAGGTCTTCCGCCGTACACGGTGGCCGCTACGGTGCTAAAATCGGCAGATCTGGCGTGACGATCTAGAATCGAGGGGGTTTCAACTGTAGTGCGAAACTGCAACAAGGTATGTCGTTTAATTTTTTTTCCTTCTTCAATTTTGCACAAGTGGCATTACGTGGCAATAACGTGTCTTTGACACATTGGCTCCAATTATGCATTAGTTGACGACTCATTTAATTATAATTTTAAATTTAAATGTTTAATATAAAATAATACATTAACAATAAAAAATCATTTTATTTTTTTTCCCTTTCTTCGTAGTATATCTCATAGGAGTGTTCAAAACCAAATCGGTCCAATAGAAAACCATAAAATCAAACTGAATCAAATCAAAATCATAAAAAATCGTATTTGTTTCGGATGTATTTGGATCATTTTCTAACAGAATCGTGCAGTTCGGTTCGGTTTGCGGTTTACATTTTATAAATCGAACAAAACCAAACAAAACCGTATTATGTTATAAAATCTTACTAACCAATATATATTTCTTTAATTCTTTAGAGAAATCAACATGTATTATGTGTATATTTTATTATACTTTGTATGATATTTATTTTAATGTCCAAATTATTTAAAAAAAATATGATTCATTTATAAATACTATTTTCACAAAATATATTTTATCGTATTCTTTGTATAATATTTATTTAAGAATGCAATCTTGTGTATATCATTCTTTAGATTTAAATAAAATTATAATATGCAATTTTATGTATCAAATTATAAACTTATTTTGATAATGATAAATTTTTTTATGGTAATGTATGAACAATTAAATACAAAATTATATTTTCCTCTATATGTGTATGTATGGCTTAA